TATTATTATTATTATTATTATTATTACTATTATTATTATTATTATCATAAATGCAATCTATACATCCACTAAAAAACACATCACAAGAATATAAAACAATCCTGAATGAATTCAAGGAACAACTCAAGAATCTGCGTAACGATCTCGAAAATGCGCATTCTGATATGAGACAACTGCGAGATCACGAGGAACAATGGGATGCTAATCGATTCCAACTGGAGAGCAAGATTCGCGACCAGAGTGGAGAAATGCAGCGTCTCAATTTACTTATGGCTAATTTGGAAACTGAAAAACAGGTCACCTAATAAACCAGCAAGCACCCACCACACCTTATTATCATTACCACCTCCTTATTATACCTACCTATCGATCAGTAGTCACCAGCATCGAGCCTTCCTTATCCAATAATGATGAAGTAATCTGCTTTCAACCAGAAATAATCACAAATCAGAAACCAATCCGAAAGTCAACTAATCAAGTGAACATTGCAGAATTTGACCGAAAAACTCAAGGAACTCACTGGCCAACTGCAGTTGAGTGAAATCAAATGCTCGGACATGAAAGACGATACAGAAAGACTCAAGCGTGAACTGTCCAAGGCTGAGAGCATCGAGTCTGAGTTGAGACGTACCAACGAACAATACACACGAACCACTAATGAATATCAAATTCTACGTGACCAGGTAGCACCATCCATCATCCTAACAAACTACTTCTATTTCAAAACATGATAGACACTCCACGACAATAATCATAAACACATATCACCACAACAAACTCCAATACCCAAACAATCTATCCAACCGCACACCACCAAACAATATTACAAACTGATTGCTCTTACGCCACCCAGTGCCTTATATTGACACCTCTAACATTCTAACCAATCGAATTTGAACAACTCTCTGATCAATTGATCAATCAACAAAATGATCCATCTATCAAATCATACCATTACTCTCGATAACACACTATACAAAACAATCTACGATCACCACATCATACCAATTGAATTCTACCAAATCACTTACATATCACTTTCAGACATATTTCTAAATCTGCATTTCATCTCAATCTTATCTCCCTCCAAACAGACTCCAAACAGCTTCAATTCTCAATCTAAACTCATCAAACTCAATCCCTCCAGCAACAATAATAACAACAACAAGCAAATAAATTGCTCTTCTCATCTAAATACATCATTACCGAATCAATTACATTCTCTCGTATATAAATCATTAATAAATCCTTCTAAACGTATCAAATAAAATTCAGTCAAATAACGCCCAAACCGAACTGCTAAACGCCAACAACCGTAAACAACAACTCGAGAACGAACTGATGAGCGTTCGTATCGAGCTTCGTGAATTCAAGCAACGCACCAGCGATATCAATAATCGTGCACTCGATCTGCAACGACAACTCGGTGATGCTAACGCCGAGAAACATCGTCTCGACGAGCGTATTTTATCCCTCGAAAAGGTACTACTAGCTCGTCCACAATCACCTTTCTGTTTCACCATTTCACTCTATAACCTTCCATTCGAATATCTTATTTCACTGATTACTTATATCCAAGTAAGTTACTACTTACTACCTTACGGAGGCAAATTCATCTATACCGATAAGTCTGCTACTCTAGACCTATGCACGGACAGCGACAGAGGACTACAGCTGGCATAGGTAGGTAGACTTTTAGGACGAGATTTCTCACCAAAACATCAACAAAAAAAGAAAGGAAATCTTGAAGGGGATTGGATTCGAATACATATTTCGATTGTTCCGTGTCCGTCCGCTGCTCAAACACGAGACCAGATCAGATCAGATCAACTCAGCTCAAATCGTCTAATAATCACCTTATATTTCAGGCACTCGCCACACAAAAGACCACCGAGAACGAGCTAAGACAACAACTGGATAACACCAAAAACGATCGAAAGATCCTTCAGAAAGACCTCGAAGATACCAAATATCGTCTACAACAAATTGAAAGCGATAAAAAAGCATTCGCTCAACAAGTCGACGCATTACGTCGTGATCGTGCCGCATTCATCAAACGAATTGAAATCGTTCGTTACCTTTTACCTCTCCTCTACATTCTACTTTTAACTACCCACACCCATCCATATCTTACTTACCCATATCTTACTTACCCACACCTATATCTTACTTACTTTTACAATATCTACCAAACAATCACTATCAATCTACCAAATAACTAAAAACGCAAGCTACTCTAAAATCATGTTCAATACCTTACATTAATATTGCTATTATTCGATGACTCCTCAATCGTATTCATATTCATATTATTATTATTATCCCTTATTATCCTAATACCTCCTAGATATAATACCCA